AATTCAGCCATCCTGGTCCCCCAGACATATTGTGAAAAAAAATTTAGTGTGTGAGTGTGTGTGTGTGTGTGTCTAAGTGTGTGTGCAAACTGTATCAGCTGTGTGACCAAAGAGATGAAAAATGGGAATCCAGACTTGTAGTCCTCTTGTTGGGATTATAATGGAAGCAGAAACGGCAAATTTTGAATGGATTTCTTGCTGCTGCCAAGTGTGCAATTCCTTCAAACACATCGATCAGGATTAAATGAGCTCTAATGTATTCGGTACTTACGGATTCCTTCAGATTTTGGTGCAGATAGCTATGTATGGTATTCCTAACCTTAACACCTAAAATAATAAACTAATGATAACCTCTTAGCCATATGCACCCATTTTTCCTAGTTCACTTTAATATTTTTGGACATAGGCTGTATTAAGCAGTTCAAACTATTTTAACTTGTCCTAACATAGACTGGGTGGCTTAAACAGTAGGCATTTATTTCTCACAGTTCCTGTGGCTGGAAAGTTTGAAATCAGGGTACCAGGATATTGTCTTCTGGTGAGGCCTCTCTTCTGGGCTCATCTTCTTGCTGTGCCCTCACATGGTGAAAAGAGAGAGAGAAAGATAGATTTCTTATGTCTCTTCTTCTAAAAGCACTAATCCCATCAGGAAGTCTCCATCTTCATGACTCATCTAAACCTCCTATCTCCCCAAAAGGTCCTATTTTCAACAATTATCACATTAGTGGCTAAGACGTCACCATATGAATTTTAGAGGAACACTATTCAGCCCATTGATGGGTATCATGAGGAATACTTCAAAAACTTAAGATTTAGTGCTATAAAAATGTGACAATATTTTAAAATTATTATATCAAGCAACTAGTTTTCCCAGCTTTCCCTAACCCTGTAAAGAGAGTCAGTTTATTCATCATGAAGAAGATAGGGTACAAAGGAAAACATGTCAATGCCTGCTAAGTAATGTCAGCTGGATCTACAGTCGACTAATTGAGAAAGAATTTTCAGAATGTGTTATTGAAAAGCAAAATATAAACAAAGTATATAATGAGCATTGTTTGTTTGTTGTATGAAATAAAACCAAAAGGAAATCATAAGTGTGTTTTTCCATTTGTTTTTTATACATAGTGAGTGAAACAAACCCAGGTTGGAGCACACAACAGAGAAACCTGATACTATGTGATGGTAGGAGAACTAATCCTTTAGCATCACTTGCAAAGAGAACTCATCATTTCCTCATGAGAGGAAACAGTCTGATAACAGGAAATATTGTATAATCCTTATATCTGCATATAAATATGTGTGATAAGCTGTATAATTTTAAAGCTTACTAATAGTCTTATTCTTAAAAGAGTTAAAGTGATTTATCAAAAAGATTCATAATAGGCTGGGTGCCGTGGCTCACACCTGTAATCCCAGCACTTTGGGAGGCCAAGGCAGGTGGAGCCCATGGCCAAGAGACCGAGCCCATCCTGACCAACATGATGAAACATTTTCTCTACTGAAAATGCAAAAATTAGCTAAGCATGGTGGCATATGCCTGTAGTCCCAGCTACTCCGGGAGGTTGAGGCAGGAGAATTGCTTGAACTTGGAAGGAGGGAGACGAAGTTTGCAGTGAGCTGAGATTGCACCACTCCACTTCAATCTGGTGACAGAGTGAGATTCTGTCTCGAATAAAAGGTACATAATAAAGCACGATGATTTAACATAAAAATGTAGTAGCAGTAAGATAGTGGAAAATATAAGAAAAAATGAATTATGGGTGAGATTAGTGATAACATGCACACTATGAGATCTTTTAATGCTTCTTAATGTTGAGTCATAAATTTGAATCTAAAGCCTCTGGCATCAAACTTCCTTCCCCATGAGAGCTGTGAGAGAAGCCTTGTTGATCACTTATAGCTGAGTTTATTCATCTTACTGCAGTAAGGAAGAACACCACCTTAATAGATCCTTAGTAGGATCTATTAAGGAAAACATTAGGGACAGATGTGTGTAGAACTTCTGAAAATGGGGACAGGAAATTTTTAACATGGGTATTTCATGTGAGACTGCCTTGTACTTGCTTTAGCACTCTCTTGTTGCCATTTTTAAATTCTTAATTTATCTTTGAACTTGTGCTTTCTAAGTGAAGTGTAATGAGAGATGAGCACATTTGTGAGCAGAAAACATATACACAGTGTGTATATCTATCTTCATTGCCAGTTCACTTGCAGAGATGTTCATGATGCCCTGTGAGTAAAGAATTCCTGTTGTATTAGTTCGTTTTCATACTGATAAGGACATACCTGAAACTGGGAACAAAAAGAGGTTTAATTGGACTTACAGTTCCACATGGCTGGGTATGCCTAATAATCATGGTGGGAGGTGAAAGATACTTCTTTTTTAAATTTTTTTATGTTTGTTATTTATTTTTTTCTTTATTATACTTTAAGTTCTGGGTACATGCAGAATATGCAGGATTGTTACATAGGTATACATGTGCACGGGTTTGGTGCTTCCATTACCCTGTCATCTACATTTGGTATTTCTCCTAATGCTCTCCTCCCCGATCTCCCCATCCCTGCTATCCCTCCCCTAGCCCCCATCCCCTGACAGGCCACAGTGTGTGATGTGCCCCTCCCTGTGTTCATATATTCTCACTGTTCAACACCCACTTATGAGTGAAAACATGTGGTATTTGGTTTTCTGTTCTTGTGTAAGTTTGCTGAAAATGATGGTTTCCACCTTTATCCATGTCCCTGCGAAGGACATAAACTCACCCTTTTTTATGGCTACATAGTATTCCATGGTGTATATGTGCCACCTTTTCTTTATCCGGTCTATCATTGATGGGCACTTAGGTTGGTTCCCAGTCTTTGCTATTGTGAACAGTGCCACAATAAACATATATGTGCATGTGTCTTTATCATAGAATGATTTATAATCTTTTGGGTATATACCCAGTAATGGGATTGCTGGGTCAAATGGTATTTCTATTTCTAGATCCTTGAGGAGTTGCCACATTGTCATCTACAATGATTGAACTAATTTACACTCCCACCAACAGTGTAAAAGCGTTGCTATTTCTCCACATCCTCTCCAGCATCTGTTGTCTCCTGATTTTTTAATGATTGCCATTCTAATTGGTGTGACAGGTCTCTCAATGTGGTTTTGATTTCCATTTCTCTAATTACCAGTGGTGAGCTTTTTTTCATGTTTGTTGGCTGCATAAATGTCTTCTTTTTAGAGGTGGCTTTTCATATCGAAAGGCACTTCTTACATGGCAGTGGCAAGAGAAAAATGAGGAAAAAGCAAAAGCAGAACCCCCTGATGAACCCATCAGATATCGTGAGACTTATTCACTACCACCAGAATAGCAGGGAAAGACTGGGCCCTATGATTCATTAACTCCCCCCAGGTCCCTCCTACAACATGTGGGAATTCTGAAAGATACAATTCAAGTTGAGATTTGGGTGGGGACACAGCCAAGCCATATTATTCTGCCCCTGGCTCCTCCAAATCTCATGTCCTCGCATTTCAATTCCAATCATGCCTTTCCAACAGTCCTCCAAAGTCTTAACTCATCTCAGCATTAACCCAAAAGTCCATAGTTCAAAGTCTCATCTGAGACAAGGCAAGTCCCTTCCACTTATGAGCCTGTAAAATCAAAAGCAAGCTAGTTACTTTCTAGATACAATGGGGCAGGTATTGGGTAAATACAACCATTCCAAATGGGACAAACCAGCCACAACAAAGGAGTTACAGGACCTGTACAAGTCTGAAATCCAGTGGTACAGTCAAATTTTAAAGCTCCAAAATGATCTCCTTTGACTCCAGGTTCACCTCCAGGTCTCGCTGATGCAAGGAGTACATTCCCATGGTCTTGCGCAGCTCCACTCCTGTGACTTTGCAAGGTACAGCCTCCCTTCTGGCTGCTTTCACAGGCTGGTGTTGAGTGTTCAGCTTTTCCAGGTGCACGGTGCAAGCTGTCTGTTGAGCTACCTTCTGGGTTCTGGAGGACAGTGACCCTCTTCTCACAGTTCCACTAGGCAGTGCAGTGCCCTAGCAAGGACTCTGTGTGGGGGCTTTGACCCCACATTTCTCTTCCACACTGCCCTAGCAGGGGTTCCCCATGAAGCCCCCGCCCCTGCAGCAAACTTTGGCCTGGACATCCAGGCATTTCCATACATCTTCTGAAATTTAGTCAGAGGGCTCCAAATCTCAATTCTTGAGTTCTGTGCACCCAGAGGCTCAACACTATGTAAAGCTGCCAAGGCTTGGAGCTTCCACTCTCTGAAGCCACATTCCAAGCTATACCTTGGCCCCTTTCAGTCATAGCTGGAGCAGCTGGGAAACAGGGCACCAAGTCCCTAGGCTGCACGCAACACAGGAACCCTGGGCCTGGCACATGAAACCACTTTTCTATGCTGGACTTCTGGGCATATGATGGGAGGGGCTTCTGTGAAGGTCTCTGACATGGTCTGGAAACATTTCCCATTGTCTTCAGAATTAACATTAGGTCCTCACTACTTATGCAAATTTCTGCATCCAGCTTGAATTTCTACTGTACCATCAGGCTGCAAATTTTCTGAACTTTTATGCTGTTTCCCTTTTAAAATGGAATGCTTTTAACAGCACCCATCTCACCTTTTGAATGCCTTGCTGCTTAGAAATTTCTTCCACCAGATACCCTAAATTATCTCTCTCAGATTCAAAGTTCCACAAATCTCTAGGGCAGGGGCAAAATGCTGCCAGTCTCTTTGCTAAAGCATAACAAGAGTCACCTTTGCTCCAGTTCTCAGCAAGTTCCTCATTTCCTTCTGAGACCACCTCAGCCTGGACCTTATTGTTCATATCACGATCAGCATTTTTGTCAAATCCATTCAACAAGCCTCTAGAAGGTTCCAAACTCTCCCACATTTTCTTGTCTTCTTCTGAGCGTCCAAACAGTCGCTTCTACATTTTTGGGTCTCTTTCACCCAGTTCCAAAGTTGCTTCTACATTTTTGGTTATCTTTTTAGCAATCCCCCGTTCTACTGGTACCAGTTTACTGTATTAGTTTGTTCTTGTGCTGCGATAAAGACATACCAGAAACTGGGAACAAAAAGAGGTTTATTTGGATTTACAGTTCCACATGGTGGGGGAGGCCTCAGAATCATGGCAGGAGGCAAAAGGCACTTCCTACATGGTGGAGGCAAGAGAAAAATGAGGAAAAAGCAAAAGCAGGCACTACCGTTAAATCCATCAAAGCTCGTGAGACTTATTCGCTATTATGAGACTAGCAAAGGAAAGACCAGCCCTCATGATTCAATTACCTGTGAATTCACAATGCCTGGAGTTCAGCAAAAAACAAGACAAAGCAAGGACATAGTGGGTTAGGCCTACAACTGGGTAAGTAGAGATGTTGACAGCTTCAATAAGGCCACACTTTTCTTCAACCGGAACTTGTTTAAAATGCAGAAAAAGGAAATTGTGTTTCCAAAAACACGAACAAAGAAACCTATATCCATATATATGTATATATATATCTCCACATAGGTTCCATATACACAATTATATCTATAGATCCATCACATCTACATATCTGTCAAATCCATATTCATTCTTACTCTTATTATTTCTAAGTATCAAACAACCTCTTATGCTAAAAGGTACAGATAGGGTAGCACATAGTTCCTTTTTTTTTCTGTTTTCCGTACTCATCAGTAAGCTAAAGATAGATGGTATTGGTAGAATGTTTGCTCATGAAAAAATGAAATAAAAATGGTTAGTTTTGTGCAGTATTTTACTATTCTGGTAAGAACAATGTAAATATCAATGTTTGAGTTGCAAAATATAAATTGTGCATTTTGGTGACTCTACATAACAGTTAAATGTCTTTAAAACTGGCATTGCATGATATAAAGGTGAATGGAAAAAATCATGCTAATGATTTAAAATTTTAATGTTTTAATAAAAAACATTGTTTAATAACAAATAAAAAACATTAAATGTCAAGAGTTAGGCCATGAAAGAAATAGAAAAATTTTGTATTTAGTACCTTTAATGTCATATTGTCCTTACTTTTTGAAGAAGGGGGCCCCAAATTTCATTTTACACTGAGCTCTGCACATTATGTATTTGACCCTGGTTTCAGAGTCGTAAATGTGTAGGGATCTGTCAGAGTTTATAACATGAAAGCTTTGAATTGGTGGTAACATTAACGTAAGTGTCTTAAAGCATGCCTTGATGAGAAAGCTGTTCACCACAACAGTCAGAAAAAGCAAGCTGTTAGGCTTGATATGTGAGCCAGTTCAGTTGGTTCTTAATTCTATTTTTCTGGTACACCTATTTCCTGAAGCAAGCAGCTACGGCATTTGTTACTGTTTTCACTATTGATTAACATAGGGATAGAAAACTATATTGCTTTAAATTTCTAATGATAATTTAGAGGTTTTGCAGTGAGCATCCACAAAATAAAAATTTCTCTCTAGTGCATGTCTATTTTTACCCAGCCATAGTAATTTGAACACGTGTACTCTCCATTTGTTTTTTTTTTTTCAAACCAGATCATATTCAATTATCTAGCCATCTGTAAATTTTGGGGGCATTTTTTCAGTATAGTATCAGAGGACTCAACTTACAGTGAGCTGAAAAGTAGAGGAAAAGTATAGAAAACATATGTAGGATACCTTTCTGAGACTAACAGTGAGAAAATAGAAGGAGCTAAATATTGAGGTGAAAGAAATAATTATTGAAAGGGGGGATTTCTAACAACTTAGGCCATGATATTCAGTGGGTCTTTTCATCAATCCTTAACTTTCCAATGGCAAAAGAAATGTAAAATGATATAATGCAATTTAGTCTTTTGGGCACTATTTTTAAGTTTATTAGTACATGCTCAAGGGAAATGCTTCTTTGAATTTTCTGCTGCTGTTGTGGAAAACTACTATCAATCATTATGTGTGTTTCTTTATACTAATATGTAATATCTTCTTGATTATTACTGGATTCAGAAACTTTCTGAAGGCCTTAAGGCCCAGAGGTTTATTTTATATTTATTTGTGCCATTAATAGTCCCCTTCATTCATTGGGGAAAAGCACTGAAGGATGTTTCTACTGAAAAGAGAACAATTTTAATTACTTTATATATGTGCTGTTTATGAAGTTACAGTAAACACATATTTCTTACTCCTCTTAATAATTGGGCATTTTCTAGTGTTAAACTAGAGCAGAGGGAGAGTCAGTCTTACAGAAAATCAGAGTGGCAGACTAACTCAGTTATGCAAATTAGTCAAGTATGTGAAGAACTAACAGATAAAATTATGCACTAGAGCTGTATATATAATTAAAGAGATTACTTCAATATAGATGAGTGCATGTGATCTTCCTTTTGATTATCTCTGCCTGAAATTTTTCTAAAAATCCGTGTTTTATTGAGAAACTTGAAGAGTTTTACATCATGCTTGGCGGTTCTTTATCTATAAGTGATGCTCAAAGTAGCAAAGGAGAAAAATTGTGGTCAAACATTTCTCCCATAAATAACGATTACATTATGATTCATCCTTCCTGTTATTTTTTTTAAGTAAGCAGAAACATGCAGTAGAATGAATATGTGTGTAGACATCTCTGTGTGTTTGCATGTGTGTATATATACATACATTCATACATACATATATGTGTCCATAGTGCATGGATATACAACAGGTTATTCAAGCAATATTATCTGTTGACATTAGTTTTCATTTTGTTTTGCTCTGAAAACTTAATACCACATTAACTTCTTGCTGATTTCTTTTTTTTTTTTTTTCATATTATTGGAATTTTATCTTCAAGGGAAATTCTGTGATAGGGTCAAATTAAGTCTGTATATGCAATGCATCACCAAATATTTTGTGATAATTTTGCTGTTTTGCTACAACTCAGATTAAACAACAAACATTGAAATTAGACTTACAAATCCTTCACATAATGGAATTAAAGGAGTGAACACCCAAACAATGCAATATATAAGGATAGATGGATTCGTTCCCTGAGGCTACCATATCAAATTAGCACACGCTTTGTGGCTTGAGAAAACACAAGTTTATTTTCTTACAGTTCTAGATTCTAGAAGTCTGAAATCCAGCTGGATAGTTGTACTCCCCACAGGGAGTCTAGGACAGAATCTGTTTCTTGCCTCTGCTAGCTTCTAGTATTTTGTGGCTTACTTGGCCTAAGAACAAACTCCAATTTTTGCCTTAATCTTTACATCTACTTCTCTTATGTGACTGTTTACTCCTCTGTGGGCCTTTTGTAAGGACAATTGTCATTAGATTTAGGACCTACCAAGACAATCCAGAATGATACCTTTATCTAAAATTCTTACTTTGCTATATTTGCCAAGACTCTTTTTTTTCAAGTAAGGTAATATTTGCAGGTTACATTAGGGGATTAGATCATATCTTTATTAGAGGTACCAGTCAACCTACTACAGAATTATCCTGGATTTCTTTGAATGATCTGAGGTGGCTCTTACGGACAAGAAAGATTATGATACAGTTTGGTTTTAGTTTGATTCTACTTATGATAGCATGCTCGTACATGGAGTAGGCAAAAGATGCTTGAGAGACAATACTACCTCTTTCCTCTGGTCTCCTGGTACATGATGAATTTAGTTTCAAATGAGACAGGAAACTCGTATCAGGAAGTAAACCTTTATTGGCAAAGTCTTTCTGGGAAGAAAATGTCAGCCAAACAACATAGAATGTTTAGAGATTAATTTACATTCCATAATGAGTTTACTACCTTTTAGCAGGCTAGTAATAATATACAGAGCAGAAGTTTGTATATCTTTGTTCTAGAGGGTTTTCAAATTAGGCTTCTTTCTAGTTTTCCTGTTCTCTGAGAGATTGTAACTTGATTTTGAGTAAAGGTGTTTAAAAGTTCACATCTTTTACAGCCATTTAACTTTTGAGGTTAATTTGTAGAAAAATTATAAATTGTGATTTTATTGTTTACCCGTTGGGAACATGTATACGCTGAAGGCTTTGGTTTCACCGTTTTATGGTAATCAACATTTTTCAAATGTTGATCAGTTATACCCAGCTTGACAATTTAAATTCAGGATTCCTTTCCCCTTTGAATTTGTCATCTTAAATCTTCAACTCCCATCTTGTCTTTCTGTTGATTCTCAAATAATAACTAAAATTTTAACATGTGATTATTATTTTTATTACAATTACTTTTAACAATTTGAAAATCATGCCTTTTATGTTCCTTTTAATATAAATAAAATTATCTAAGATTATCTGGCATCATTGGCTCTAAGCTCCCCCTTGTTAAGCGTTCTCTGAATGAAGAGACCACCAAAACAGGCTTTGTGTGAGTAATAAGGCTGTTTATTCACCCAGGTGTGAGTGGGCTGAGTCAAAAAAGAGAGTCAGCAGAGCCTGGTGGGGATATGAGCTGGTTGTATAGGTTGAGGGTAGGCAACGAAAAGTTACAATTTAGGGTGGTTTTTGCAAGCCCTGTAGGGGGTTTCACAGTGTCACAAGGTTGACCTATCAATTGAGGCAGGAACAGTGGTAGAATGTTGTAAGGTCAGTTAATCAGGCCATAGGGTCCAGTGTCACAAGGTTGACTTATCAGTTGAGGCAGAATAATGATGGAGTGTCATAAGATCAGTTAATTAGGTACTGCAGGTGGTAGCTATTCTTCTCCGTTTGCAGTTTTTCTGTTACTTTCTGGCTCTGGGAGGCCATTTGGAGGTGTAAGTGTAGGTCACAGCAGTCACCATGGCTTGAGTATGGTGTAGTCCGTGGTGCAGCCAGTTCAAAGAACCTTGCATTCCTGTCTTTTTATATCAATAATATGAAGGAAAAAAGTAAAAACTAGTAAAAGTTGGGGGACAGTGAAATTTTGAGGCAAGTACAGAGGGATGGTGGGCCTTTCTCAGGGATTATTCGAGCAGGAATGGGGGTGGCATGGAAACCTGAAAATGGGAGAGATTTTAGATTGCCAAGAGATTTGGGGGCAAGGGGTGTATTGTAGGGTTGTTAGAAGGAGCATT